GCAGCCTATAGAATAGCTAACTCATAAGATTCTTACAAAACTTAAGAAAGATAATGTTTAAGACCACAAAGAAATTCCAAGTGCAGTAATACTGATTTGTGGGTTGTTTTTCTGCACTCCTCCTAGCCATCTACTTGTATGTACTGTTTCAAATACCTAACACAATGAATGAAATACTGTATCTCTTTCTTTCCTGGGTATTGAGAAGATGAAATGTTTCAATGAAATATAAGCCAGCATAAATGTCCTGCAGGGCCATATAAGGAAAGTGTCTTTATCTGTAAATTACTATGCTCAGAGCAAATATCACCAAATGATAAAAACCATCATCTGTGATTGTTCATAGCTCGTTCTTTACATATTCTTTCTTATTTAAAGTGATACTCATTTTAGGAAATCCCATAGAGATTCATCATTAATAATTATAACAGAGGCTAGTAGGAGGAATGGCTGAATGAAAAAAGGAATGGGACACAAGTACACCCAGACTACTCAGTATATACAAGTGACAAAGAAAGTGGGAAATATGAATGAATCTGGGGAGGAGGGAACAGACGGGAGAAGGGAGAATGATGGACATGCTAAATTGCAAACCCTGTGAAACTCCCTTATATGACTTTTGGAAGTTCAGAAAAAAACATTAATTAAATTTTAAAAATGCAAATGATAATTTAGACAACGAAATTGATGTTATCTGAGGATTTAGGCCCATTTCTGTGCCAAGTAGAGAATTAAGTAGCAAAAGAGTAGTAAAGTATAATAGAACACAAGTTTATCGAAAGGACAGCACACACCCTGCAGGGAGAGGCCCCAGACCAAGGAGTCCAATGATGTCCTCCAGAGAAGTGGCCTCTGTGCTTTACTAATTCTCCTTCTCCCCCTATATCAGGGAGGGCCCATGCATTAACTTGAGTCCCTCATTGGCCACTGCACTTGCCTGGAAGTAAATCTGATTGGCCATCCTAATCATGCACAATTACAGAAATGGCTCTGGTTGGTCATACCCAACCTAAACAATGTAGTATTTCACTGTGGATATAGAATTTTGATCAGGAACCCAGAGCCTTATGGGAATAAGTGTCATGGCAGACCACAAGTTCTCTGACACATGTTATATCCACCATTATTCCATCCCCATCTGCCTAACAGTTCCCCTTGCCCATTCCCCAAATGTCCTTTATCACCTGACTCTTGACTCCTACAGATAATTAATCGTAATAACCAATGAATATTCTAACTTATTTTTCCTAGTCATATTGATGGGAATCTGCTTTGTGCTCATAATTCCATGCTACTCCCCTCTCAGCCCAATTCTTTTTATGTATCCAAAGATCCTATATGAAGAACTTGCCTCTCCTCCCCTTGGCCCTATCATTTTATGTATCTAAAGATGCAATATAAAGGATTGACTCCCACCCTATTGTCCCAGGCCCATACAGACCCCAGGCAAAATCCCAAGTATGTGTGAAGTTCAGGCAGGGCAATCCACCTAAGCCCAGCTGTAAACATCCCACTGTGAGCCCAACTGAAAGGCCCCCCACCTTCCTTGACCTAGTGGCTTTTAAATCATTCACCTCAGCCTCCTTGCTCAGACCTCCTATAAAAACCCAACTCACGGCACAACCTCCAAACCCACAGGAAGGTATGTGTCTCAATAAACAGTCCCTCCCTGTTAATGATTGAGTCCATCCTATTCCTTTTCTGTTCTCCTCCATTTTCCTAACATAAGGTTTCAGCACCATAGGAAAATGGAGGAAAATAGGGGGAGAGATAAGGCCTTTCTGGGTTTATGCAGGGGGCCAATAATACCTCAAGCCACAGCAGGCTGGCCATCCACGAGGCATGCACTGCTTACAAAGGCAAAGGCCACGAGGTCTTTCGGGTGGCTGTTTAGCCCAAAGTAAGTTTGGAGGGCTCAGTGCTCCAGATAGAGAAAGGCCTTGGAAGGAGGAGGAAGGTAGCAGAAAGACTCCATGAGAGGTGGCAAGAAGGTAGATGGCCCCTCAGCAGAGGGCACCCAGTTACTCCTGGTGCTTTTCCTCTCCTGGGTGTTGGCACCATATGTAGGAAAATGCAGGAGAATGGAAAAGGAATAGGCCGGACTCAATCATCAACAGGTGAGGACTGTTTATTGAGGAATAGTAAGGGGCACAGCTTTCCCATGGGTTTGGAGGTTGTGCCCCCTCCTAGTTGGGACAGGAGCTGAGTTTTTATAGGAGGTCTGAGCAAGGAGGCAGAGGTGAATGAAAAGCCCCTAGGCCTTTCAGTTGGGCCCACAGTGGGATGCTTACAGCTGGGCTTAGGTGGATTGCCCTGCCTGCATTTCAAAGGAGGTCACACATACCTGGGATTTTGCCTGGAGTCTATATGGGCCTGGGACAGTAGGGTGGAGGTCAAACATTCACATAAACTGGCACGAAGTTTTGCTAAAATAAACTTGCATCACACACTATTTGACAATTGACTTTTATGCCCTTCAAATATGTCTCCAGTGTCCTGTGTCAATGCATTCAGCTTCTTCTCAACCCAGAAACTCAGTGGTACACTTGAGTCCCTCTGAGCAGTTTTCCAGAAAGGCACTCAGAATATAGATCCGATTGAAAATGGCCTTTGACTGAACTATTACTGACCCAGAATGGAGCACCAGGAGCGTAATCCATACCTCCTATCAGCTGTCATCAGTAGAGCCTCACTTTTTCAGTGCAGGTAGAAGGATGAAATGAATTCATTGGCAGAGAATCCCTACAATGTGGAAACTACAAACACAACACCTTTCTAGTAGAACTGCTTAGAGGACACAAGCCTAGTCAGGCACAACCCACTTGAAGCAGGAAGGAAATTCTTTTTTGAGAACATTAAGGTCAAGCTCATATATTAAAATAGCTGCAGGATCTGGGCTCCAGAGGCTCACACCTATAATCCTAGCTACTTGGAAGGATGAAAATCAGCCTGGGTAGGAAAGTTCATGAGACTCTTTTTTTTTTTTTTTTAATTTTATTTTATTTTATTTGAGAACATACTGTACAGAGGGGTTACAATTACATGGGCAGGATAATGCATACATTTCTTACCAAGCATTGCAGCCTCCTCCTTTGTTTACCCTTCACCTCCCTTCCCAGCCTCCCCCCTCCCCCCACCCAATCCTTCCCCCCCTCCCCCCCACACCAACATTGTAAAGCTCGTTTTTGACATGACATTTTGTACTTCTCATTGTTGCAACAGGTCCACCTGAATCCTTAAACGACTTGTTTGTCCCCATCTCCTCCACAAGTTATACTGACATCAAATATAGTGAAAGTGGGGGTTACACTGTGGGGGAGGGACATAAAAAGCAACAAAGAAATAATCTTATAATTGCGTTAGAAACACATGCATGAAAGAAAAAAAATTAAAATACATATTTAAGGGTTCGTTTTCCTAACATCACATTATCTGACCTTTTCCGCTTGACTCATACATATACTAGATATTGCAAATAAGGGAAACCATGGGACCTATGTTTCTTTGGGCCTGGCTTACTTCACTTAATATAATTTTTTCCAAGCCTTTCCATTTCCTAACAAATGGGGAAATGTCATTCTTTCTGATGGAGGCATAGAATTCCATTGTGTATATATACCACATTTTCTTGATCCATTCATCTACTGAGGGGCATCTGGGTTGGTTCCATGTCTTAGCTATGGTAAATAATGCTGCAATAAACATAGTTGTGCTGGTAGCTTTAGTGTGGTCTTGTTTGTAAACATTTGGGTAAATGCCCAAAAGTGGGATTGCTGGGTCATAGGGGAGTTCTATGTGAAGTCTTTTGAGGAACCTCCATACTGCTTTCCAAAGTGGTTGAACAAGTTTACATTCCCACCAACAATGAAGTAAGGTTCCTTTCTGTCCACATCCCCTCCAGCATCTGTTGTTGTTAGAGTTCTTGATTTTTGCTGTTCTAACTGGAGTGAGGTGATATCTCAATGTTGTTTTGATTTGCATTTCTTTTATGGCTAGAGATATCTCCAGTTAGTCAGTAGAAACCCAGAAGTGGAGCTGCAGTTCAGTGGTTGATTGCCAACCAAAGTGGTTGATTGCAAAAAAGCTAAAGAAGAGTTGAAGCCCATTAAGTTCAAGCTCCAGTATATACCGTTCAACTCCCACCCCCCACCCCCATATACATACAAATTACTCTTGGAGACCATTTACTTTTGCCATTTCAAAGCCCACTTCATGCCATTCATATTTTCTCTGTGAGGGTCAGTATTCTTCTGTAGGTTCCTCTAAGCACTTGGCAGCTAAGCCAAATATTAATGTGTTAAACATTAAATATCTTCTTCCTGTGCAATGCACTGGGTGTTTTATTACATAGGCTATTATAACAGATGTATTGTTACTTAATTTGTGTATAAAACTTTCAGATCTGTTCTGAAGAGTACTGCATGCAAAGAGTTAGAGTGGTCTTCTCTGGACAGTCTTCAAAGCTCTAGGGCTTCCCAGCATCAGGGAATTTTTGTAACACACTTGTTTGGCAATGAGACTTTTTGTGTGTTTGGAGGTACTGGGACTTGAACTCAAGGCCTGGCTGCTGTCCCTTGGCTTCTCTCCTCAAGGCTGGTGCTCTACCACTTGAGCCACAGCTCTACTTCTGTCTTTTAGTGGGTTAACTAGATAAGAATCTCTTGCACTTTCTTATATGGGCTGGCTTTGAATCCCATTGCTCAGATCTCAGTCTCCTGAATAGCTAGGATTATAATGATCCACCAGTGTCAGCTTGTCTAAGTTATTGAAGGTTAGGTAGCATGTGGTTATGATTGAACATGTAAAGCACAGGACACAGATAAGCACTCAGGTAGCTCCTCATCCAGATCTCTGACTTCACTCTAAATAGCATGGGGTGAGGTAGGGTTTTGAGATCTGTGTGTTTGACTCTAAAAGAGTGAAGATTTCAGAAATATTGTGATGAAGGATGAAAATCCTTAGCCGTGTGATTTATGACTGTCTCCATCTGTGTCTTTCAGATACCATCGTTCTTATTGCTTCAATAGCAGTCGTTTCTGCAAAAACTCAGGGTAATATTTTTGCCACGTCTGCTCTCCGAAGTCTACGTTTCCTCCAAATTCTCCGAATGGTGCGCATGGACCGCAGGGGCGGGACTTGGAAATTACTGGGTTCCGTGGTTTATGCCCACAGCAAGGTATGCTAGACTTTTTCTTTTCTTTTCTTTTTTCTTTTCCTTTCTTTCCTTTCCTTCTTCCCTCCCTTCCCTCCTTCCTTCCTTCCTCTTCCTTCCTTCCTTCCTTCCTTCCTTCCTTCCTTCCTTCCTTCCTTCTTTCCTTCCTTCCTTCTTCCTTCCTTCCTTCCTTTCTTTCTTTCCTTCTTTCCTTCTTTCTTTCTTTCTCTTTTCTTTTTTGTGCCATTCCTGGGGCTTGAACTCAGTGGGCGCTATCCTTGTGCTTTTCTGCTCAAGATTAGCATGCTAGCATTTAAGCCACTGCTCCACTTTTGGCTCTTTTGATGGTTAATTGGAGATAAGAGTTTCACAGACTTCCCTGCCCAGGCTGACTTCAAACTGTGATGCTTACAACTCAGCCTCCTGAGTAGCTAGGATTAAAGGTACCAGGCTGCCTTTCTGAGGTTGTAAGCAATGGGTTTTAAACTTTTTCCTTTGCTGTAATAAAATTTAAGAACCCTATTATAAGCAATAATTACTTCAGAACTTGGTGAAAGCAATCCAGGGTACTGGTTTATAATGCATTAATCAATTTTGTTTTTCATGGATTGGAGGGTGAGGAGGTTCTGGTGTTGACTTCAGGACCTGGGCTCTGTCCCTGACTTTGTGCTCAAGGCTAGCACTCTACCACTTGTGCCTCAGTTCCACTTCTGGCTTTTTTGGTGACTAATTGGAGATAAGAGTCTCAAGGACTTACTTACCTGACCAAACTGGCTTTGAATTGGAATTCCTCAGATCTAAGCTTCCTGAGTAGCTAGGATTATAGGAATGAGTCACCAGTATCTAGCTCATTGATTTTTTAAGGAGTAGCTACTATTTGTTTTTATTTTTAAATTGTTTATTTTTTATTATATTTAAGTAGTTGATCAAGGGGCTCAATTTCAATATGTTAGTTTATGAATACAATTTGTCTTTTTACAATTACATTTTTATTATCTTTAAGTAGTTATACAAAGATTCAACAAATCAATAATCAGTACAGTGTATCTTGATCAATGTCACCCCTTCCATTATTCTCCCTCGCTTCAAGAAGTAACAAAGTGACAGGCATTGGTGACTCATGCCTGTAATCCTAGCTATCCAGGAGACTGAGATCTGAGGATCATGGTACAAAGCCAACCCAGGCAGAAATGTCCATGAGACTTGTACCTCCAATTAACTAGCTATAAGCTGCAAGTGGAGATACGGGTCCAATGGTAAAGTACCAGCCTTGAACAAAAAGGCTAATCAAAGGTTCAAGGTCCTAAGTTCAAGCCCCAATACTAACACACACACACACACACACACACACACACACACACACACACACACACACACACACACACACAAAGGTAATATAGAGAATGGAATCACACAGATTTTTTTTCCTTTTGCAAAGGCTTTGATTTCTAAAAATACTTTATTCCTTTTATTCCTAGGAATTAATCACAGCGTGGTACATAGGATTTCTTGTTCTTATTTTTTCATCCTTCCTTGTCTATCTGGTGGAAAAAGATGCCAATAAAGAGTTTTCTACATATGCAGATGCTCTCTGGTGGGGCACAGTAAGTACAAAACTCCATTTTATCTATTGGATGGTATGCAATGATTCCTTTGCGTATAAGGCAATGGTTTCTAGGATGGAACAGCCAAAAGAGAAGGATGTGATAACACTTAAGATTTGTCACTGTCTTAAGCATTTCTATATCTTTTTATCCCAATGTAATTAAATTCTCTCATAAATCATATTTATATTCCTTTTAGATTGTTGCCCAAAATAAAAAAATACCACTTTTTTGTGTGTCAGTCCTGGGTCTTGAACTCTGGGCCTGGGCACTGTCCCTGAGCACTTCACCATAAGGCAAGCACTCTAGCACTTGAGCCACAGTGTCACTTCCAGTTTTCTGGTAGTTAATTGGAGATGATAGTCTCATGGACATTCCTGCCGAGGCTGGCTTTGAACCTGGATCCTCAACTCTCAGCCTACTGAGTAGCTAGGATTGATTACAGGCATGAGCCACCAGCGCCTGGCAAAATACATCACTTTTAAATAATTATTTTAAAAAATAGTTTGCTTCAACTTTGTGAAGGACTGAGTTAAATTGACAGTTGTTATACTGATTTTGTCCAGTCATATAATAGTTGATATTTATTAGCAAAGCAAATTAAACAGCTGTGTAATACAGCTGGGTACTGGGAGACTAAGGCAAGGAGTTAAAAACAAATTCAAGGCCAGCGAGGACTACATAGTGAGAACCTACCTCAAAAGCAAAAGAATTAGCTGGGAGCTGGTGGCTCACATCTTTAATCCTAACTACTCAGAAGGGTACGATCTGAGATTTGTGGTTCAAAGCCAGGCAGGAGCATCCAATGGCTTCTTATCTCTAATTAACCACCAAAACAGCTAGAAGTAGAGCTGTGGCTCAAAGGGTAGAGGACCTTAGCCTTGAGCAACAAAAGCTCGGAGACAGTACCTAGGTCCTAAGTTCAAGCCAAAGAGCTGCATAAAAAATGTACTCAGATTATTTCTCTTCTTTTTAAATAAGTCAAACATAGGAGAATGATAGCTGAATGGAAGTTAAAGAGGAGTTAGAAGAGTAGAATACATTTGCTTGTGGGAGGGGTCAAGGGGAGGAAGATAGACAAATGGAGGGTGAGGATAAGTGAAGATTGTAGTGAATATATGCAAATGGAACCAGATAACTTAAAGGAATGTGTGGGGTTGGGAGAGATGGGTAACAGTGGAAAGGGTGACACTGGTGGAAGTTTGAAGGCAGCCTAGGCAGAAATGGTATGAGGCTCTTACCCCAGTTAACTACCAAGAAATCAGAAGTGGAGGTATGGCTCAAGTGGACAGTGCCAACTTTGAGAGAAAATGCAAAGTGAAAGCATGAAACCCTGAGTTCAAGCTCTAGAAACAGCACTAAAACTAAAACTAGATATAAATAGAAATCTAAATGAATGAATGAACAAATGAATGAGAATCATTTGGATGTCACAGATTATATATTCCTACTTTCAAAAGTTTCCATCCTACTTTATATTGTTATTGAAAAGCAACTTTCCAAAGAAGTCATTAGTCTCATACAGATAGAAAATAAACATGTGCTATTTTATTTAACTCATTAAAAATGTCATATCAGTGAAGAAATCAATTCAAAATCCTTTCCAAAGAAGAAAAAATTAGAAGACCTGGAATACTGAAACACTTGTACAAATACAAGAAAACCTTCAGTGGAAAAAGCTAGTAGACTCTCCACTGGACATATCATTTACATGTAGATGGAAAAGAATATTTGCCTGCCACATTGGCTCTCCCCTGTAATCCTAGCTACTCAGAAGGCTGAGATCTGAGGATTGTGGTTGAAAGACTAGATAGACAAAGCCTAGAGAGTTGTATCTCCAATTAAGCATCAAAAATCCAGAAGTGGAGATGTGGCTCAGGTGGTAGGTTGATGCAAGCCTTAAGCAAAAATGTTAAAGGAGAATGAGGGACCCTGAGTTCAAGCCCTATTACCAGCTTCCACCGGCCCAAAAAAGTATAAAGGTTATGAGCTATATATGACTTAAAGAATTAGAAAATAGCTCAGACGCTATAAAGGTGCAGAACCCCTGAAATCCGAATCAACAACCTGGAAAGGGTTCTTCGTGAACATGGCAAAGTTTTCCTTTGAAGCCAAAAAATTTCTTTGCATTGTGAAGAATTTATAAGGTAGAATGATGGGAGAGCTGATCAAGATGCATTATACATAGAGACTAGCATATTGAAACCTCCTTATACAACTGTATAATTAAACCACAAGGAATTTATAAAGCAATTGTTGAAACCTGTGCCCTAATAAAAATTTCACAGTAATATACATAATACATATATGTGTGTACAATGTATACTTTTCATTTATTTTTATTTTATTTCTTTAAGACATTCCAAAAGGGTACATAAAATTTAATAATTGGGTAAGAATTTTAATTTTCTTAGGTCCAGCAAAGTAAAATTCTCTTATAAATCATTAGTATTTCTTTTATTTGTGCCAGTCCCAGGGCTAGAACTCAGGACCTGTGCATTGTTCTTGAGATGTTTTGCTCAAGGCTAGTGCTCTTCCACTTGATCCATAGCTCCATTCTGTTTTTTTACTGGTTAAATTGAGATAAGAGATTCTTGGACTTTCCTTCCTGGGCTGGCTTTGAACCACAGTCCTCAAATCTCACCCTCCTGAGTAGCTAGGAGTACAGGTATAAGCCACCATTGCCCAGCTTCATAAGTAGTTATTTATTTATTTATTTATTTATTTATTTATTATTTTGGTCGGTCATGGGGCTTGAACTCTAGGCCTGGGCGCTGTCCCCTCAGCTCTTCAGCTCAAGGCTAGTGCTCTACCACTTAAGCCATAGCACCACTTCCATTTTTTTCTGCTTATGTGGTGTTGAGGAATCAAACCCAGGGCCTCATGCATGCAAGGCAAGCACTGTACCACTGAACTACCTTCTCAGCTTCATGTGTTGTTTTTTTTTTAGTACTAGATTTTTGCCCACATAAATGTGTCATTTTCTTTCATTGTGATTCATATTTAATGATTGATTGGCTGACTTGGTGCTACTGAGCCTTGAGCCACGATTCCAGTCCTGCTTTTTGCTGGTTATTTTGGAGATGGTGTCTAGCAGGCATTTCTGGCCAGGCTGGCTTTAAACTACCATCCTACTGATCTCAGCCCCTTGAGTAGCTAAGATTACAGCTGTGAGTCATCAGCACTAAGCTTATATGTTTTGTGGAGCACCAGAATTGTGTTATATTTGTTCATTACCCTACTCACCAGAAGACCATCCTGAAGACCACAAAACTGGTTAGAGGCCAAGGAAACATTCAAATTTTTTGTATTAACTTGGCCACTGGTGGCTTATGCCTGTAATCCTACTCGGGAGGCTGAAATCTAAGGCTACAATTCAAAGCCAGCCCAGGCAGGAAAGTCCAGTTAACAACCAAAAAAAAATACATTAAACAGAACTTGACATATTTGGTGGTTTGCACAATAGCAATAAATGATCATCAGAATTGTCTGAGTAAATGTTTATAGGTTTGTATAGTGTCGAAGCATTGTGGGGTTTAATATCTTGGTTTTTAACTTCTCTTCCCTACCTAAAAGCCATGATAGATGATTTGAAAGAAGACTAGAAACCAGAAAGAGAGCAGTCACCTGACATTCTTAAAATATCTTTCCTCTGTACAGAGCAAAGGCATGTCTCTTATTCCTGGTGGCTTTTCTTGCTAGCAGGGGGAAGGCAGTCTCTCTCCTTATTCTTGAGCTTCTCTTGGATAATTCTAGTGTATATCCATCCTGGTGCATTCAGGTGTGCTTTGTCCTTCCATGCAGCTGTTGCTGAGCCTCAGTCTGGCATTTCATTTTCTTTCTTTCCTTGCGTTTCCCTTGTCTTTTAATTACTGATAAGAATTGCTATATTGTGTGTGAAGCAGTGTGTGGGAAATTCTTAATATATTCTCACTTAGTCACCAGCTACTTTCTTCTGCCAGAACAACACATAAAGCAGGTTTGCAAAGGTCACATCTGCGACTTCCAGAGGGGAGGCAACGTATTTTCTATGATTTCCATTTTAATAGTATTGTTTTGACTGATGGTTAACCTGTGCTTAACATGTTTCCTAGTGGCCTAATTATGTTCCCATTTAAAAATTAAAAGTCTAGCCTTGAAGAGACACTAAAAAGAAAAATGGACCAATATGTCAAGCTTCTAGGAATTAAAAAAAGGATTCTTTATTCTACAGTGTGTTGATTTCATCTGACTCATTAATGAAATTGTCCATAGCCCATTCAGCAGGAATACTAAACAAGAGGGCTTAGATGTCTATTCAGTGTCCAAAGAACATACACCAGGTTTTAGTGGTTAATAAATTTAAACTAGTATGCTTGTTAAAATTTTGTTTTCTTTATGAATGACCAGACATTAATAATATGAGCATATTTTATTGTGATCATTCCATACATTGTAAATGGTGCACTATGAAAAATTTTACTCTCTCCATTATACTCCCTTTTACCCCTGCCCTTTTTTCAAACTCTATTAAGTTGATCTATAGATATAGACATAGTTATAGAGATATAGAGAGATACATATCTGGGCACCTGTGGCTCATACCTATAATGCTAGCTCCCCAGGAGGCTAAGATCTGAGGATCTCCAGCCTTAGCAGGAAAGTGGATGAAAATCTAGTCTCCAATTAAGCACAAAGAAAAGCCTGAGTGGAGCTCTGGCTCAAGTGGTAGAGTACTAGACTTGAACACAAAAGCTTAGGAACAGTGCCCAAGCCCTAAGTTCAAGGTACCATCCCTCCCCCCGCCCCGCCACACACACACACACACACACACACACACACACACAAGTATATGTGTGTTATATATACACATACATATATACATATACACATATATATATATATTGATCCTCTTTATCCTTCAGTACCCTTTCCATTCCCTGTTCCTCTCCCATTGATCACCCCCAAACAATTCCCCTTGCACATTCATATCCTATCATCATTATCACTATATCACTATC